GTTACAGGATTGTTCTGCGGCCGTTATTGCGCTGTTGGGACTGACAGACTAGCAGAGATGGACGACTTTATCGTTGCGGACGACTCCGATGAGGAAGCCAAGACATCCAAGAAGCGTAAGAGACCGTCGAATGCTACGGCTCGTAAGGCCTCCTCTCTTCCTGTTCCTCCTTCTCCCGTAGAAGACCTGGACTTGGATGTCCCGGATGCCTCCTCAGGCACAGCTCTGAAGTGGACCTATGATCCTGAGAATCAGGAACCCCGCCAGAATCGGACAATACAAGCTACGCCGAAAGGTACTGCCACTCCTGCCAAGCAGAAAGCACATCTCAGGGAACCTGAAGACCGGTATCCTTGGCTCGCAAACATTCGGGACATAGATGGACACCCACCAKATCACCCCGACTATGATCCTCGCACTATATATATACCCCCACTGGCGTGGGCAAAGTTTTCTCCTTTTGAGAAGCAATACTGGGAGATCAAGCAAAAATTCTGGGACACGGTTGTCTTTTTCAAGAAGGGCAAGTTCTACGAGCTGTATGAGAACGATGCTACAATCGGTCACCAATTATTTGATTTAAAGCTCACGGATCGTGTTAACATGCGGATGGTCGGTGTGCCTGAGATGAGCTTAGATCACTGGGCCAATCAGTTCGTGGCCAAAGGATTCAAGATTGCCCGTGTGGACCAATCTGAATCTGCACTGGGTAAAGAAATGCGCGAGAGAGACGGAAAGAAGGCTGGCGGGAAAGAAGACAAGATCATAAAGAGAGAATTATCCTGCGTCCTTACGGCTGGCACATTGGTTGAAGGCTCTATGCTGCAGGACGATATGTCTACCTATTGCGTTGCGATCAAGGAGGCCATTATGGACGACCGTCCCGCTTTTGGGCTTGCGTTTGTGGACACAGCTACTGGCCAATTCTCTCTGTCGGAATTTGTGGATGATGTTGATATGACCAAGTTCGAGACATTCGTCGCACAGACTCGTCCCCAAGAACTGCTTTTGGAGAAGTCCACGATTTCTCAGAAAGCTCTGCGCATTTTGAAAAACAACACTGGTCCCACCACCATCTGGAACCACTTGAAGCCTGGAAAAGAGTTTTGGGAGGCAGATATCACTGTGAAGGAGCTCGATGCTAGCGAATACTTTGTTTCTCAAGATGATGATAACTTGCAAGCCTGGCCGGACACCCTACGAGAGGCTCGAGACAAGGAATTGGTTATGTCTGCGTTCGGAGCCTTGGTCCAATATCTCAGGGTTCTGAAACTCGACCGCGATCTGATCACGATTGGTAACTTCTCGTGGTATGACCCTATCAGGAAGGCTTCCAGCTTGGTTCTTGATGGACAAACCCTGATCAACATGGAAATATTCGCCAACTCATTTGATGGTGGCTCAGAGGGGACGCTCTTTCAGCTTCTAAATCGCTGCATTACCCCTTTCGGCAAGCGTATGTTCAAGCAGTGGGTTTGCCATCCATTGATGGATGCAAAGAAGATTAATGCGAGGTTGGACGCCGTTGACGCCCTGAACGCTGACTCGAGCGTGCGAGACCAGTTCTCTTCCCAGCTGACCAAGATGCCTGATCTCGAGCGACTTATTTCCCGTATCCATGCAGCCAACTGCAAAGCGCAAGATTTTGTGCGTGTGCTGGAAGGATTCGAGCAGATTGAATACACAATCACTCTCCTCAAKGACAGTGGCTCTTCGGGAGAAGGAGTCATTGGGCAGCTGATTAGCGGGATGCCGGACTTGAATTCTCTGCTGGAATATTGGAAAACGGCTTTCGACCGCAGTAAAGCGAAGGAAAATGGCATCCTGGTACCCAAACCAGGTGTTGAGGAAGACTTCGACACCTCCCAAGAGCGTATCGAACAATTGCACCGGGATCTTGACAACCTCCTCAAACGCCAACGCCGTGAGTTGGGCTCCACAGCCATCTGTTATCGTGACAATGGAAAAGAAATTTATCAGCTCGAGGTGCCAATCAAGGTGAAGAATATCCCTAAGAATTGGGACCAGATGTCGGCCACGAAACAAGTGAAGCGTTATTACTTTCCCGAACTGAGGTCTCTCATCCGCAAATTGCAAGAGGCGCAGGAAACACACAGTAAGATCGTCAAGGAAGTCGCTGGTCGATTCTACGCACGATTCGATGAGAACTACACGACATGGCTGGCAGCCGTCCGAATCATCTCACATCTGGATTGTCTGATAAGTTTGGCCAAAGCCTCTTCGTCGCTGGGACATCCAAGCTGCCGCCCTGTCTTCGTCGAAGGCGAACGGAGTGTGCTTGAATTTGAGGAGCTGCGCCATCCATGCCTTCTCTCTTMGGTGGAAGACTTTATTCCCAATGACGTGCGTCTGGGGGGCGAAACGCCGAATATCAATCTTCTCACTGGAGCTAACGCCGCCGGAAAATCCACGGTTCTCCGAATGGTAAGCAGGCATTCATGCCTTAACTTTCTCTACGAAAAAGTGGACTAACTGTTTTTATTGCTCTAGACATGTGTCGCTGTTATCATGGCACAAATCGGCTGTTACCTACCCTGCCAATCCGCTCGGTTAACACCTGTTGATCGTATAATGTCCCGTTTGGGTGCGAATGACAACATCTTTGCAGCCCAGTCCACATTCTTCGTGGAGCTCTCAGAGACGAAGAAGATATTGTCTGAAGCTACACCAAGATCGCTCGTCATTCTCGATGAGCTTGGCCGTGGGACTAGTTCTTATGATGGTGTCGCTGTTGCTCAGGCAGTGCTGCATCACGTCGCCACTCACATTGGAGCAATGGGCTTCTTTGCGACTCACTATCATTCTCTCGCTGCGGAGTTCGATGGTCATCCCGAGATCACACCCAAACGCATGAAAATCCATGTCGATGATCAGGAAAGACGTATCACTTTCTTGTACAAGCTGGAGGACGGCGTTGCTGAAGGTAGTTTTGGTATGCATTGCGCGTCCATGTGCGGTATCCCGAACAAGGTCATCGAGAGAGCCGAAGTGGCTGCCAAGCAGTGGGAGCACACAAGTCGTCTGAAGGAAAGCCTGGAGCGCCGGAAGGGCGGCGGGTTCATTGGCTTGGGGTGGTGGAGTGACGTCGCCTGGGCTCTTCGCGAGTCTGCTGCTGACACTCCCAGCAGCGAGAGCGTCTCCGACTTGAGCCTTGAGGTACTCCGCAAAGCTATTGAAGCTCTTTGAGGTATCGAAAGTGGAGGTCATTAGTAAGGTTCGCATAGACGTTACGTCCCCGCTGTCAATTGATTCTTGTCATTTGCTTCGTGGCGTGGGGGTATGGCGCCGGAGTTATTCTTACTGTATGGTTTGCGAAAAGATCGACAAATGAGGTGAGGGAGCATTTCGGGATATATATCACTCAATGCTACAGAATCATTCACCATTGTGCAAAATGGTTTCGAATGGTGTGCATTTAGTTATAGAATATTTCAAAGCAATATATTCGTGTCGCAACATCGAGGACTCTTTATCTTCATCTCGCCTCTTGAAGGCCCGAATTATTAAGGACTCTATGTGAAGATAGCATTTGAATCAGGAAAACAAAAGGGCATTGACTATTCAGGGTATCTTCTCATCTAGCTAAGCAGGACCACCCATCATTCCATAGTAGTCCACCACGGCGTCAACCCAAAGGACTGAAAGAACAGCTGTCGATCAAAAGAAAAGTGCGTAAATGAAGAAACAATAGTCATAAGCGAAATCCACTTGAGTGTTGTCATGCCATCAGTCATTAGGGATCGGAACACGAATCTATGCAGTGTGATCCTCCGCCTTCACGGCCCCCTGGGCAGCATCCAAAGCGTCGAGCTCTGCATCGAGGTCCGCATCGTTCATGACCTCGTCAAGCTCAGCTTTGATCGTGAGCTCCGAGTCATCATTATTGCCTTCCTCCATTGGTTCATTCTTGATGATGTCTTCGGACTTGGAGGGTTCGGATTTGACTTCAGAGGCATCGTTTCTGTCAATAATACCATGAGTTAGGTAACTTCACGTCCAAAGAGACCAAGCAGATGAGCCAAGTAACATACCCATTCTCCACATTGCCAGCTCCAGCCTTAGCAGCCGCCCCCTTCTTCGCAGGTGTTTTTCTCTGCCGCTTGGGCTTGGTAGGCGTTGCAGCTTCCTCGCCATCGGCGCCCCCATCCTCCGCACCTGCGGCAGCCTTCTTACGCTTAGCTTGTCCTTTCTTGGGCGTGGCCGTCGCGGTCTTGGAGGACGAGGCTTCGCCGGCAGCGGAAGAGCCATTCTCGGTGCTGTTGTCGGGGTTGAGCTCGACGAGCTTGCGTTTCGCCTTGTTGAACATAACGTTTGCGGAGCCGGCTGTGTAGCCGCCCTTGCTGGCGAGCTTTTCGTAGTCGATCTAGGTGATTGTCAGCTACGTGGCTCATGTTGTCTAGTAGTTCAGGCGCAGATGTCTACCTTGTATTGGTCTGTGATGCAGAGAAAGCCTAGGATGAGGATCTTGGCTTCGGCGGCAGAGAGTCCCAAGATGCCCTCGGGTTTGGCTTTTGCTGGGGAGGCCATGGTTGTTGTTGGAGAGGCAAACGGTCGAGAAAGTAGCGAGTTGTTCTGTAAGTCGAGAAAGAAAGTACGGAGGCTGGAGGAGAAATAGGAAGCGCACGATGATAAAGGATGTTGTAGGAGGAGAAGCGAGAGAGAGGAGAAGAAGGTGCAGTAGATATAGTGCTAGTGAGAGGGTCTGTGAGCGAGTTAGGACAATATGATGAAGGAGAAACACAGAGTCAGACGCAACACAAGTCAGGTAAAGAGAAATGTGAGGCGAGGGTGAGAATTGGTTGTGTCGTCGTGTGAATAATGTTGAAGCAGAGTAGAATCCAGCGTCCAGGTCCTGCTCTAATGACCGACATTTGTCTTCTCAGTGTTTCAAAAGTGTGGCAAGGGAATATCCTACATTACAGGGAATATGCTAGGTAATTTGTCTGTATGCGTTGCTTTCTTTTCAATTTTCAGGTCTTCTAACTTCGCCTCAGTCGTGGTGAGGTTGGAATCTGCCTGTATACATGCTCCCACAGTTCAGGATAAAATGTGGACGACTCTTTCCCTGGCTGACTCTTTTCTGCCGTGTAGAATTGCCTCAATGTCCTACCTGCCCACCAAGGTAGAGGAGCTGGGTTGGTATTTCGGAAGCTCACAGGCCGTAACAAGGCCTTGTCACGAACCAGGTCTCCCAATCGCACCTCAGTCTGCCGCGGGATCGTCGTGAACTTCATAGTATTGATATATAATGTAGCTGTTGGAGGTAAGTTCTTCGCATACTGTAGGGTCTGCTCCCGCGAACGACGAGCAAAAACGGGAAGCGCAAGGTGTACAAAGTTCACAAACGGGGCAGAAGTGTAAGCAACGAAGAGCATCGGTAACGCGCCACCGACGACCACTACTGAAGGTCAGCTATAACATTTCTGCTCGGGGATTCCCACAACTTACCAGCCGGCGCTATATACCATGGGTAGTCGTCAGAGAAAAAGGCTGGAGCCACGATAAGGCAAGAGACTCCAAAGAGAAATATCGTCGTGATACGCAACATGCCCAGGAATATGACCTTTCCCGTCCCCCCGTGATAGATCAATATCCGTTCTGGAGGTCCTATAAGCTTGCTCTTAGCATCATGTCCAGAATATCGGCTGGGCTTGGTCCAGGGTATCCCGCTACCTCGTCTGATGGTGGTCTTTGCGTGTGTCGTCGGGGAGATCGTAGAAGCACTGGAGCCGGTCAGGCTACCATTGTTCTCGTTCGGTTTCAAAGCAGGTGAGCCTTTTCCTTTGAATGCGTTCTGAGTCGTCTTGAACCGAGTAAATAATCTGCTACTGAGATCTCTCTGCACAGATCGTGGGAGAGCCGCGCGCAATTGTGGGTGGAGGAAGCATTGGATCCTCATCTTGAGATATACTGACGTATATCGTCAATCGATATGCGCTGAATAAAGAATGGTAGCAAACAGTCTCGACCAACTGACAATTTCAATGATTGCACGGAAAATCCGAGGGAATGACGGAATGACTGCGCGGCTGATCTCCGCACCGGGCCTTATCTAATTTACCCGCCAGCCGACTTATTCAGGCCTTCTTGGCGCGGATTGATTGTCCTCCTTGCTTTTGTCTCGACCGTCTACAATTCCTTCCATTAGATGTCTTCTGGTGCCCAATGTCAGGTTTGTGAGAGTAACTGGGCTGCCTGAAGCCAGTAAGTCTCAAGTATATCGGAAACAATCCAAGGTCGATGATCACTTGCCATGAAAGCCTGCTAGCATCATCCTAAAAGTCGCTATGGTTTCGGCTTACGGTGGCCTTGTTCGCTGGCTACTTGCGATATGCCTCACCCTGCCATTTCTGCTCCTACCCGCAGGAGCGTACGAGTCGATCTCAGATGAGACCTTGAAAGGCTTGCCACGACCGAATAGCGACTTCGATATCCACAACGGAGCACTACTGGCCCCCATCCTGCAGCCCCGTGTCCCTGGCACCCCCGGCTCCACAGCGGTGCTCAATCACTTTGTGGATTTCTTCCGCACATCTTTGCCAAACTGGAAGATCGAATTCCAGAACTCTACGTCGAAAACGCCAGTCTCTCATGGCAAGGAGGTTCCGTTCGTCAACTTCATCGCGTCGCGCGATCCTCCCTGGGCCGCGGTGGGCGACGTGGGCAGACTGACGCTCGTCGCACACTACGACAGCAAATACACACCGGAGGGTTTCATCGGGGCCATCGATAGCGCGGCCCCATGCGCGATAATCATGCACGCGATGCGCAGCATCGACGCGGCCCTGTCGAAGAAGTGGGAGGCCATGCAGGCGCAGGGCCGAACAGACGCAACCCTGGAAGACCAAAAGGGTATACAGGTGCTCTTCCTGGACGGCGAGGAGGCATTCCATCTCTGGACGGCGACCGATTCGCTATATGGGGCGCGCTCTCTCGCCGAACACTGGGACTCACAAGTCCACCCGGCCATGTCGGTCTACAAGACTCCGCTCTCGTCCATCTCACTATTCGTGCTGCTCGATCTACTGGGTAGCAAGAACCCCTACATCCAGTCTTACTATGCGACCACCCACTGGGCCTACCAGAAACTGGCCGCGCTCGAGAAGCGGTTCCGCGATCTGAAGCAATTCAAATCTTTCTCAGGGGACGCTTCCGCACGGCAATGGTTTGCTGACGGCGGGAAGAACGAGCATCAGCTGACTACCTCCTCGGGCATACAAGATGACCATGTCCCGTTCCTTGCGCGCGGCGTGGAAATCCTACACGTAATCGATTCTTCGCCGATGACGGGGTTCCCCAAGGTCTGGCACAGCATGGATGACGACGGTGAACATCTAGATCTGGACACGGTGGAAGACTGGAGCATGCTCTTTACCGCATTTGCAGCCGAGTGGATGGAACTGGAAGGCTTCATGCGCGGCGGTGAGGCACAACCCAAAGAGAAGCGATCTGGTTCGGAGAGGAAGACTGAATTGTAAGCCAGGCCATTATGACCTTGTTGTATCACAATCTATGTTACACAATCTACTGTCCATGGATTGCTATTGAATTGAGCCTGCGCTGACTTTCAATTGGTCTGCCTAGCATCTAAGGTCGGCAAGTTATACATATGTCAACTGTCCATCCTGTAACTAAGGAGTTTTGGGTTATATTCTATACCTCAATCTATCAACTCGCAGCTGGCCTGCTTGAAGGGATACCTGCCATTCTATCTTACTTTCAGAAAAGATTGCCCAACATATACCCTGTCATCGCCGCAAGGCCCCATGTCGGCTGGAGCACCGTACGCAAAATCGCAGGGCCCGGACATACCCCCAGTAAGCCCCAGGCAAGACCAAATGCCGCCGCACCAGTCACAAACCGCCAGTCAATATCCGCCACAGTCAATGTAGGCAGTCTCCAGTTATCCGCCAGGGTAGGTTTAGCGGACTCCTTTCCGTCCTGTTCCTCTCCCTTTTTCTGTCCAGGCTTCAAGGACAAGTAAGTCGCAAGCGACGGGCCGATTCCGAACAGAATGATGAGCGCAAGCGAAGGATCCCAGCGAGACGGATCGGTAAGCACGGCGAAAAAGCGGAGGACTTTCGCCGGATCAGCCATTCCGGAGATGAACAGTCCCAGACCAAATTGCAGCCCAGCCAGGTACGAGAAGATCGTCCTCGACTTCTTCGACCGGTCCAGCACCCGCGGAACGATTACGAAGTTGGTCACGAGGGTCAGAGCGGTAGTGGTGACCATGAACGCGAGCTCCTCGACCGACGGGTACACGGGGGTATAACAGGGGATACCGGACGGGCAGGGCGGAATGTTCTGGCCCCCGTTGACGAAATTCGCGGTCAGCAGGGCGGTGGTGAAGAAGATCGCTGTTGCGATGAGTGAGCGAGGCGACAGGCGCGAAAGACCGCAGAGCATGTGGCCTGATGTGCAGCCGCGGCCATTCTAGTTCAGGGTCCTCCGTCAGCAACAAATCCCAGCAAAGCGGTCGCGGTAGCCATTTACCTTTGTTCCCCAGCCCAGTAGGAACCCTATGCCGAGCGTGGACGCCAGGGAAGCCCAGGAGTTCGGCGCAGGTGGATATGTTGGTATCAAGGATGGCGCGAACAAATAGATTGGGGCCACGCTGGAGACTAATCCTGCGATTATGGGGACATTATCGCAGCTGGGATTGAAAACGCATCCGGACAATAAAGACGAAATGCCAAAGACGGCTCCATTATGTAGAAGGAGGCCTGAGGAACTCTGGAAAAGTAGCAGAGCTCCAAGGGATGTGTGGATGGGCGTGAACATTTCGACCGCTTGCCAGGTTGAATCACTCTCTAGAAACCAATTGACATGAGGTTATTCCTCCCATGCCACGAATTCAAAGGATGATTCCTCGAGTTCACTGTCGTAGACGCTTGGCAGATTGTCAAGGGGTTCACCATAAAGAAGAGCAAATTCACAAAGCCGTCGATGCGCCACAGTCATTTCTTCCGACTTTCTCTGAGATTTGTTCGGCGATCGTGTGCTTCCGCGTCAATGACGAATATCAATGGTCCCCGAGCAGCTTATTCAGTTTCCAATCCATGGATGAAGGTTGGGGAGAGCTCTCCACCGTCCGCAGGTCCCCGAACTGAAGCATAATGAACAATGATTTCAAGGGGTAGCATTCTGGCTTCTAGCTACTTCGAGGGCCAAAGAGTTTTAGGTTTTAATAGTCGCTGAGTTCCCGAGAATACGAGAGGGAGATTCTCCAGAAAGAAGCTTGTTAGAAGCTCAGTCCGAGCACATTTTATTATTGTGAAGGTATCTCGGGACTCCTACAGGAAGGTTTGGTCCCCGAACCGGACTTTACTGGAATGGCTTGTTTTCATCGGAATGATCGACATCTCCACCGGGCTTCTGGCTAAGAAACCTGTGCCTGGGAGAAAGATCGATAAGACGAAGACCAGAGGAGGTCCTGGTGTAAATTGTCTGTTCAGGAAGAGTGTTTGTTGGCTCCCATAATGGATTAATAGTGGTGCATAAGACCTGCAGGAGAGGCGCATATGACAGCCGCAATACTAATCGCTTACCAACTATAACCTATTCATCTGCAAACACTGGTGCATATGTGAAACAGTGTGTTTTCATATTACATTGACTTGAACGAAAGAAAAGAATCTAAACAACTCTATAATGATAAGTTAGCAGCACGATGGACTGCATCTGGGGAGATATTGTCCATGCTGTTTGGCAATGGCTGTAACCCTTCAGCAAGCGAAATGGGTGATCTCGATGAGATACCCAAGTCTGTTTCCCCCTCCAAGAACACTCACTGATGACATGGATTTGACAACAGTATCCCATGATGCCTAAGAATTTTTTTCAGAGTGAAAGACCCCATGAAGTCTGTAAAGTGGAGTCCATGGCTTGCCTCTTAATAAAGCGTCAGTCCGTGTAGACTCCAAACACTTTCTGTCATATTTCGATCAGCGATTGGTGTATTAAGGGCCCGAGACGTAAGGATGACAGGGAGACCAGTCAAGCCATCTCTCCAGTATCTCCGTTTTATGTCCGGCAGGTTGTACCCGCGATCTCAAGCTTTCAATGGAGGGAATTGCTGGTCTCCTTGAGTGTGGAAGTGGATGCTAGAAAAGTTGGTGTCTCCAGACCAAAGGCCATCAAAGGATAGGGGGGACCTTCAACGAAACTCCACGAAGCTTGACGGAGGAAAGACATAAACTTTGTATTGATTACCCATCCTTTTTTTGCCGCCCACAACATTTCAGACAGAGCCTCACCACGCAGGGAAGTGTCTCTGAATACATGGCAGTGCCTGCTTCATCGAGAAGACGAAGCTCTGGTTGGTTTGGACAAGCTCAGACGATGGTGTATGGCGGTTTCAAGCCTGTAAAGCGAATGGGATGAAGCTTTAAGTTTCAATGCGATGTGGATCTAAGGGTCTAACCACTGCCCACCACGGCTGGTCACTTACCTACTTGTAGAAAAAGGAGGGATAATTAGTACACAGCCAGCTTGAAGTACCATAGGCATATTTGCTTGCACGGGTACTGCCCAAATTTTGTGAAAGCATGGAGCGAAGGAGAGTGAAGTATAATGATGGAATATGGATGGAGATATAAAAACTATGACTAAGCAATGCATAACACAGATGATCATCATCGGGCCCTGGCCCTGACGTTCTCATCTCTTTTCCACTCATGATTATTGACAAGCGTAGGTTTCGACAGAGCAGTTGAAGAATCTGTGACTCATGGAATACCCTCCAAACGCTCATGTGATGATTTTCCAGAGACCCACGAGCAGTTCCGCTCCGCTCCATACTTGACAGCATTATGAAGCGCAGTCTGAACGGGGAAAATAAACAACTACAGTCCTCGTCGACTAGCGATCAGGTTCTCGAGGATAGAAAACCATCTT